GTCACTGAACCTCTCTGACCTTCTGTTTCCTCCTCTGCTTACAGCCAGGCTACCTGCCCTACCTCGTCCTCAGAGGTGGTGTCAGTGTCAGCCACAGTAAGGTGTCAGCTTACTTTGTGTGATCTCTCTGGCACGTCATGTCCATGGCATGATGGTGACTCCAAGCATGCTCTGGTCCCATCATCAGGGAGCACGTGGCACATTTCCTAGTAGAGAGAATCCATCCTTCAACATTTCCTCCCTGGCCCCCTGTGACCTCTTGCGAATGCCTCCAGTTGAGGAAACACTGTGACCACAGAGGCAGGCAAAGGGAGCCTGTCCTCAGAGCAGAAACCTGTGACCATGGCGTCACTGTCCCATGGCCCAACTGGTCAGACCCCCATGCCATGCAGTGTTCTCAGGCCTCTGCCGGGGAATAATCTTCAGACCCGAGGAGTGGTCACCTGCATCTTCCATGAGCAAGGTAGAAGGTGCTGGTTTTACTAAAGTAAAGACAGCAAAGCAAACCTTGGAGGCAAGCTCCTCAATAACTGGAAATGTAAGAGCTGGGCTCTGAGATGAAATCCAACACAGGGCTCTCAGGAGGCAGTGAGACTGGCTCTTCCCTGGGTACTGAGGGGGGACAGGCGAGGCATGGCCAAGAGAAATGGGGCCAGGGGCTCCCCTTCTAGCACCGGAGGCAGGGGCACAACAGGTCCCTGCAGTACAGGGGTGGCAGTGGAGGAATGTTCAGAGCTGGAGGCACCGAGCAGGCAGGTTCTCAAGTGGCCATGGAGTTAGGAAAAGCCTCAGAGGATATGTGAGCTGGGAGTTGAAGGTTGGGCCCGTTTTTCAGGCAGAGAAGTCAGGGAGGGCATTCGGGCAAAGGGGCCAGTTGTGCCAGGTCCTGACATGGGGGGACAGAGCTGCTGGGCTGCGGGGAGTGCCTGGAGAGGAGCTCCGGGAGGAGTGGCAGGCCATGGGCCGCACAGAGGACTTACACTTCTACCCCTGGAGCAGTGGAGAGGCCTTGGGGAGGTTTTTTGGGGGTGGGGGTCAGAGCTTAAGTGCTTCCCTTTGCATTTCATAGAGCTGGGAAGGGCAGAAAAGAGCAAAGCTGGAGCGGGGTCAGGCTGCAGGTGGCAATGCAGGCAGGAAATGAGGGGCCAGGACACCTGGAGCAGCCACTGGCTGACCGGGGTCACTTCCACGCTGACCATGAGGTCTTTTGGTCCTGACCCCTCTCAAAGGACACTCAGGACTCCCCCCTGCTGACCAGCCACACAAGCTAGCTTGCCCAGACTGCACCTAAGGAACGTCACCAGTGGCAGGAAAGTCCCCTGGCTGCTCACTCCAGATGCCCCATTCTCCTGCCTCCCAGCCCGGTCAGCCCCAGGCTGCCCTTCAGCTTCCTCCTCCCCTCTGCCCCAGGCTGAGACTCCTAATGAGCGTCTTTGTCCTGTCCCCCACCTCCCCTCCCCACACGAGAGGCTAGGATTCCGCACCCCAGCCCCAACTCTGCGCAGCCTGTAACTGCAGCTTCCCCAGTTCCTCAGGGGGCACCCACAGGCAAAGTGTACCGGCACAGCCTCCCCCAGGTGTTGGCCAAGTATGTGTGCACCGTGAAGGCCAAGGCAGACCCAAGACTCCATTTCCACCAGGAGCCGCCCAGCCCCTGGCTGCCTGGCCCTGCCAAAGTGAGCACGCCACCCTTCTCTTTCCTTCTTTCTGAGGCTGCTGGCTGTTGCTCCCCCCTGCCACCTTTGCTGAGCTGGACCTCTCCTGGTTCAGCCGGGGTGGGCACAGCTGAGCCTGGATCGGGTGACGTGGGCGGGCAGTGTGGCTAGGTATCAGGTCACAGGGTGCAACATTAATCCAGGCACCTAGAGTCAGGGTGGGGGGAGGAGGCGACAGGGTAGCATGGGGGAGAACTGCTCCAGATACTCTAAATACATACAGGTCCAAGGTACAGAGAGACCAGGTGATCTCTTCAAAGCATCTAGAATGTGGGAAGATACCCAGGGGATCATTTGGAAGGACACAGCAAGAGACCATCAAAGGCAAGATCCTTGACCTCCAGGGCCCTACAGTCCCAAGATAGAAAGCAGATATTCCACTGAATTTGGTCATTCCAGAGGAGAGCTCTAGGGCGGCAAACCGCTGGAACTGGAAGCCCCCCAGGCCATGCTAGGGTCTGGGAATACAGCACAAGACGGAGCTCCATGTCCAACGGGAAGACGGACAAGCAAACACCAGCCAGGGCCCAAGGGATAGGGGCTCTGGAGAGGTGAGCACGCTGGGCTCTCCCGGTGGGAACTCCCACAGAGGCCGCAAGACCTGAGTTGCCCTCAAGCAGGCCTGCCAGTCTCAGTTCTCCTCTTACACCCAAGATGGTGGCTCTTGACTTCAACCTCTGGAGCAGGGGGATCCTGAGTACCCAGACTTTGAGTCTACATTGCCTCATGGGTTTTTAAGAAATGGCTTTAGGACAAGTTCTCTGAATCATGGTTGCATTATCCAGAAATATCTGTGACTCTGATTCAGCATTGCTTTTTCCAATTTCTAGATTGCTGAACTCTAATTTCTGGTACATGTCACTTTATTTAACTTCAGGGGGAATCCCAGATATTTAAAATATCAGCTATTCACTTAAAACATCACTCAACCATTCTTTCCCAATCCATGTGTTTCCAACCCTGGGATTTTTCTTCACTGTGATCAGCTTTTCATACACACGGTCCAAAAACAAACTCACTGTTTTTAACGAGCACACCTTATGCCCTCATGGGTCTGATCCTACATTTCCAGCGTGTGTTTTTGCCAACAACATGGCCTTGGGCAAACCTGGGCCGACCCTTTACCTGTAGCTGTGAAACAAGCTGATTTGGAGACCCTAAAATCCTTCCCAAGTCTTATCATTCTGAGGGGCTCTGAATTTGCAGCTGTGGAATCCTACATTGTAACCCCACAGCAACAATCCCTAGAAGGGAAAAAGGGCACCAACATCTGCTGAGAACTCCCTCTGAGGTGGGAAGGCACTGAGGAAGAATTAGGTAGGAAAAGTGACACCCCGCTTTCCAGGAAGAATACAGTCTGAGGCCTGGCTGGGAGACCTCTGTTCCGGGTCCAGCCTGTATGGCCAGCCACACTAGGGAGTGGGGGGCTGTTCTTTCCCTCTCCCCATAGTGAAACCATAGCCCTCTCAGCCTTCTCACCTTCTTCTTCCCAGAGTGACAAAGCACTTTTGGAGCCCAAGCCCCAAGCCCTTGTGACACCAGAGTGCTGAGTCACGGTGGGGCAGCAGATCTCAGCCACAACCCACGCTCTGCCCGCTACAGCTCTGGCGTGAACCAGTGTCCTGCAGAAACAACCCGCCCAGCTTTGCTCCTGCCTGCAGCCCCTCCCCCTGTCCCAGCCCTGGGAGGTGGCTGTCCCTGGAGGCCAGCCAAACTCCTCCTAGAAGTCACAAGGAGCTGGGGATCGAGGGGAGGGAGGCTGAACCCTGTCAACAAATGTCCGAAGACCAGGCCACGGTTTCAGAAAAATCTAGAGGGTTGGAGATGGCAGTTCTGACACCCTGGGCTCCCAGAAGGTGGGGAATGGCCCAAGCAAACACACACACACACACACACACAAGCACAAGATGTATCTTTCATTCTTCCCAGCCACCTCCCCCAGTGACCTTCTACAGCCCAGACTGCCCCTCAGTTTTGCAGTGATGGGGTCACCGCAGCTGACCAAGCACTGAACGAATACTTGGTCAGGAAACCTACTTTCTGCAACAGACCCACTCCCCTCAGGTGGGTCCAACTTCATGCTGGCTCTGTGCACCAAATGTCCGGAGGCCCTGAAACTTGGCACTTCCAGACAAAAGCGGGCTGATTTTCCTTGCCAAACGCATTTCCTCCTGGGCTCCCATCCTCAGGAAATGGCATCCAAACCCAGCTGCCTGGGCCGGAAAGCTGGGGATCTTTCTTTCCCACCTGCCACCCTTTGTCTCCACCCCCGGTGTTAGCCATTCAGCCACCTCATCCCTTCTGCTCTGTCCTCTCCAGCTCTCTCCAATCTGCTGTCTCCTCCATTCACTGAGAACTAGGGCTCTTGCCTCCCGACTGGTACCCAACCCAGTTACCTGGCTTTAATACATCCTCTGTATTCAATCATTCATCCATCTGTTCATTCAATAAATACTGAGCACCAAGTAATAAGCATCTTGCAAAATGCTGGAGAATTGTAGGATAAAGACAGAAGCAACATCTGTCCTCCAGTTTATGATACACAGTAGCAGGGAAGCCAACCAGAAAGTCATTTATATTTATGTAATATGTATCTAGACATATGAATATATATTATATAGGAGCATTATTAATCTTCACTATTTAAAGAGCTACAAATGTCAACTCAATTGGTCATTTGTATTTGAGCTTTACGGTGTCTTTATGGTGTTGTATGATTCCATTTATATGAAAACCTACAACATGCAAAGTTAATACTGAAAAACATTTTGAGAGTGGTTGTCTTGTGGGGGAGGGTTCAGGGGAAATGTACTGGAAAGGGATACAAAGGAACTTTCTGGGGTAATGGAAATGTTCTGTACCTTGTTTCAGCTGTATTCGAGTATCAAACTCATTTAATTAAACACCTAAGAATCTGTGCATTTCATTGTATGCTAATTAACCTTAACTTTAAGAAATTAAATCACTCATTTTTGCAAAAAAACCAAAACAATTCTGTTGGCCTTTTTACCTACTTGACTCCAGTCAGCTTCACATTCCAAAAACTATACCGTTTTTTCCTAGATATGCCTCTCAAATACTTAACTATCTGTATCTTGAGTTTATGAAGCTGTTGTGACACCAGACCCTTTGTTCTTTTACCAAGTGCTTTTGTCCAACTGAAGTGACTCACTAGCAACTACCTTAGTCCACCCATACATTTTAACAAACTCTGACAAACATGCCCTGACCCGGTCATTGTCCTGAAGATCCATCTTGATCGATCTTTGTTATTCAAAGCATTTCTCAATTTTATTTTTATTGGTTGAAAAAGGCAAACAGTTCTAGCTTCAACACTCCAAGGGTTCTCTATTTTCCTCTTCATTCCCACTGGCAGATTCTGTTCTAAATTCATCCCTTTCTTGTCATCGAAGGTATAGCGGATCACCAAGGTACTCTAGAAACATTGTTTTGCAATCTTGTTACATTTGGGAGCTCTTTCAGGAATTGGGAGTGTCGCTTATTTTCTCTTTGGCAGGTTCTCTCTTCTCTCAAGACTTTGGCATTTTTCTTTGGCGTAATTCTATGGTTGGTCCTTACTTCCTCCACCATCATCTTCCTGGAGGGCAAGGCGCCCTTCCAGCTCCGGCACAGCCCAAGTCTCCTGCTCTCTGGTCACCACCTTGGCTGCCCAGCTTTTCATTTTTTAGTAGTCAAATCTGCCAACTGTTCTATGGTTTTTGACAGCTTCAGAAGAACACGCTACCCCAAAATTCTACAAGATAACCTATATATTCTTCTAGTAACTTCATAGGTTTTTTTTTTTAAGCTGTGCATCTTTATCCACCTGGAACGTATTTTGAAATACAGAGTAAATCAGTTTTCTACATGACTATCAATTGTTTCAACATTTTTAAAAATCCATTCTCTCTCCCCTAGTTTGAAATTCCACTTTAGCATCTACCAGATTCCCATAGGTATGTGCATAGGGCTGTTGCACTCTGCTCGTTCCTTCCTGTGCCAGTAACAACTGCTCATAGTACTTTTTTTTTATATCAGGGAGGGCAAATCTACCCTCATAACCCTTTTTTTCCCCCCTCTCAAATGCTTATCAGGTATTCTACACACTTAACTCTTCCAAAGGAACTTTATAATCACTTTGTCAAGTTCCAAAAACTTGCTGAGTTTTACAGAAATTGCACTGAATAGATAAATTTATTTGGGGAGACTGCTGCCATCTTTATAGAACTGAGGTTGGCCATCTAGAAACATGGTGTCAATTCATTTATGCAAGTTTTCTTTTCTGTCCAGCAATAAAGTTATAGTTTTTATACATGTATTGCCAACTTTATCCTGAGGTCCTTTTATTAAAGAAAATAGATAGGTGGCCCACCTCTGTGTGGAAGGCCTTGGCTAAGACAGTGAACCTAGAAGCCAACAGACTGGGGGACAGAAGCTCAGGCCTAACTCCAGTTCTGCCATCCCTGAATTCACACCCACCCTGTGCTCGGGACCTGCCCCTCCAGGGTCCCTTGCACCTGGAATGCTTGTCAGGCATTCAGCCCCATCAGCTGTTCTCCAAGGGCAACCCCAGAGGGTGGCTCTGTCTAGAGCCTCCTCAGCCTGAGGCTCCTGTGACTGGGCCAATAACAAAGGTCACTTCAAAATGGCGTTAATGACCGGTCTTCCAGATCCAAATGGCTTTTCCTTTCTTTTCTAACCCCAATCTAAATTTTAAGCCGCACGGGTTCTTTCTTTCCTCAGAAGCCCAGGTGGCTCACCCCCAGGACTCCCTCAAGGAAGGCGGTCTCCTCCCAACCTTTGTTGCATAAACCCGCACAAGGAGCCATATTTGCTTTTAGCAAGAGGCGGACAGGGTTGGCGGAGTCGAAGGAGCGGGGCCAACCTCAGCCGGCCGCGACCCCACTCCGCACCCTTTTGCCCCTTAGTAGACTCGGAGCAAGGGAAGGCGAGCCCCTTCCCAGCCCCGCCTCTGACTCACTTGCCTCCCGTGGCCCCGTGTCCACCTTCCCGTTTCCCCATTTACATTACGGCGCAATCACTTCGGGATGTGGCGGCTGCCGCTCTACAGCTCTGATTGCTAACGGGCCCTTGCCCAAGAGTCTCGGGGTGCTGGTTCAGACCTCAGCCCGCCCTGAAGCCCCCGGGGCCAGAGACGCTTTCCCGTCTCTTTCGAGACCAGGACGCCTCTGAAGCCGGGGTCCGAGTTGGGCTTACCGTCCCTCCCCGGGTGGTCCCTCCAACCCCACCCAACGCGCCCCAGAGCGCTCGGAGCCCTCCGCGGCCCCAAAGCCCCCAAAGGCCTCCCGGCCTCGCGGGCAGCACTGTCCATCATCCCCCCCCCCCCACCTCACG